CAGAGCAGCTTCTGTGCTAGCAGGAGAAAAGAAGTGGCAAAGACGTGCCTCTGAAGAACTTTAGGGAAGCTATGGGGGTGACTGGTTCCCTCACCTTAGGTCAAGTCTCTCCTCTGACATCAAAGTAAAGAGCAGAATATACGAATAATTTATTACGGTGCTTTTTCTTTTCAAGTTGTGAGTTCATAGTAAGTATTCCCATACACTACCTGTTTTGTCCTGTTTCCTGATTTTTTTTCTTATTTTGGCTAATTCAAGGTTGACACCCAAGGCAGTCTAATCCTCAAGGGCTCTTTCCTTATTGTAATTTCCCCTTTTAACGTCCATTTTATGTATCCCTTTACTGGGCTGCATCATCAGTATAATCCTTATATTTGCACCCCCAAACTGGTACCAGGGAATCCATCATTATCAGAAACATTTACATTTTATAGTATGATGACAAAGCATACAGGTAAGAATAGCAATAACTAGGAGTCTAGGCTATAGACGTAACAATTTGGATCCTGAATTTATTTTCCATTAATGGAAACACTGTGCTCTGTGTATGATATATACTAGTAATTAATGGTCCCATTTGCAAATTTTTGCTTAAGTGGGGAGAATAAAATGGAACTGGCAACATATCTGTGGCTAGGGATGAGAACATTGGGTGCCAAATTGAAAAACGGAGGTGCAAAGATTTTTGTACCATGGGAAATACACTGCCCAGAACTGAAAGGCATGAACTGTTTTCTTACCTCTGGGTGATGAGCCCTCTGTGCAGGCAATTGCATTCAAAGCTGCAGTGACATTTCCAAGAATTCACTTTCCTCTCTTTGCCAATAAGTTTCCCTTCCTCATTAGTATACTGCTCAGAGAGCAGAGCTTCCAGAAATAAATGAATATTTACTGAGCATCTCCAAACGTCTGGCACTGTGCTAAAGACCTTTGAGAGTAGAAGCAAACTTAACCCTAAAATTTATTAGCATCGTGGATAAAACTTTTGAGACTCAAGGTACTTTCTTAATATATCTGAAATGAAGTAATTAACAGGTTGCAGATTTAAGCTTCAAACCCAGGTCTGTTGGAGTCCACGTGCATAGAAATTTACTCTCTGAGTGTTCTAAAAATGAGAAGAATCTGAGAAATAGTTTGATGGAAGGATGTACATAGGACATTTGTGTTTTTCTGCCTCATATTTAACCAGGGAGCCAATTTGAAAATCCCTGAAATTATGTCCTCATTGAACCTCTTTTCTCCTTGGAAAAAAAAAATAAACCTCCAGATTGTGCTGGTCTAGATTGGGGAAACCTCTCAAAGGTAGGTAGGGGATTGGCTGGCTAGTTAAAATAATGCAGCTAAAAGAGACTCCAGGGTTCAATCTGGGAGGCAAAGTTGATTCCTATTACAGGTGCTTCCCTACTGCTTGTTTCTTTTTCCATTTGTTTATTTAGATTTTTTTAATATTTATTTATTCATGTGTACAAGAGCTGGGATATAGGCCAGAGGTGTGGGGGGTGAGAGGATGCACAGAGACAGAGAGGGGAGCAAAACCAGCAGATGTACTGAAATACACTGCTGAGGGGAGCAGTGGGGGAGACAGGAGAGGTCTGCTGTGCCACGTGGGTCAGCAACCTGGCTGGGGATCGAACTCAGGCCGTAGAATTTGGGAAGCCCTATTTTTTTTTTTTTTCATGAAGCCCTTGCACATTGTAGCTTTTTTATTTATTATTATTAATGAGGGGTAAGTGTTCATAGGGGAACCCCCTAAAAGATCATCTCAGGCCAGAGTATTGACTCTTCTGAAATGCCTCACCCTACCATTGGCATTGTTCACCTGGAGCAAGAGGGGGACAGTTTATTCATTCAAGCAAGTGTACCTACCCCCGTGCCACGCCAGGTGGGCTGAACTTGTCCATATGTGCCACATTCATCTCTCACTAGCTCATCAGTCCTGAGCATCTCTGTGCTGGGCATTAACTTTTCTCATGAAAACAATTCAACAAATTGTCCCTGAAGCAAAGCACAGAGGACAACCACTGTCTTTTATGTCATTACATGCACCCTTTAACAACCCTGTGAGGCATGTTGAGTGCCCACCCGTGTCCTCATTTTAAAGACGAGCAAGTGATGTCCTGGTGGGACAAACAAGTAATTCTAAAGCACATAGTCACTGTAGTCCAAGAAGAGACCCTCTGTTCATTGCTCTCCCACCTCCTGTACCAATCTGAAAACCCATATGGGAAACATGTTTGAATTCTCAGAGATATTTGAACAGTCCTCAAGATTCTAGTGATCGCTCTCAGAAATTATAAATGGTTCTCTCCGCTGGGTACCTTGATGAGCTTTTATGTGATTGTTTCAGTGTGTCTGAGAGGACTCAGCTGTTCTGAATAAAGAACATCTTGAATTCTCAAGCTGGTGTCCTGCGCAGACTCATGTTTTCCATTAGTGTTTGATTTTCAATTACTTTTATGTGTAAAACAGCCGGCTGTGATCTGTAAGTCTTGCCTAGATGGCACACTGAAGAACAGATTTTAAATTATGGTTTCCCCAGGTTTTAAAAAAAAACAAAAGCACTCAGATCATTCCTTCCACCTCAACACCATGGGTCAGAGTGGAGACCCACAAGATAAACCTTGTCAGTGATTTATTGGGGATGTTATTCATACCAGAGATGTGTGAACAATGTAATTAATGTGCTTTTTAATGCTAATTTTTTTTTAATTTATGATGGTTTGAGTCACATCTCAGATCATTAAAATTTGTGAACATCCTAACTGAACTTTTTTTTAAAAAAGAAAGAACAGTTTTGAAATAATTGTTACCAGTATATAGACTGTAATCATTAAGTAAAAATCAATGATAGAGCCTATGACCGTCAAAACAGAATTTTTGGTTAACATTTTATTTGCTCAGTTTTTAGTTTTCATGATTTCCTGGAATATATATGTATTTTTTTTCCAGTGATAAAAGCAGTAGGTACTAGTTACACAAAATGCAGAAACAAGGAATAGTTGCTCTGCTTAGTTTTAATTGAGATGTCAGCTGCAAGAGGCCAAGATGGTCATTATTATAAGACTTGCTAAAAAGGCCATGCGTACACACACCTCACCTTCTGCAATATCATATTATCAGCCCGCCCCTAAATGAGGCTGAATCTATCACTTACATGATTTTTTTAATGCACGATAAATATCTTACATTTCCTTTAAGTTAAAATATATTAATTTAATTTTTATATTCTAAGATATTTTTTCTGCAACAGGAACTAATCCATGGAACTGTCATGGTACTTCCATCAAGACAGCTAGTTATGGGGCCAGTCAGTCAGTCCTAACACTCATTTCACTGTAAATTACTGACTCAACTCGCAAACGGAGGCCGACCATGCTGAGCATGGGTGTGCGGATATGATTTGATGGAACATATTCAAACCTTCTACTATTTTGTAATTTTAATGTTTTCCCCAAAGCACATAGCCTGGAATTTTTTGATTCGCAAAGAAAAAATGATGAAGAATTGGTCATCAAAGGTTATGAAAGACTGAGAAATACATGCAAGTCAACTTCTAGAATGAGGGTCAAAACTTTTCCCAGAACACAGTTACAGCATTTGTTCAGAAGGCTTTTTTTTTTTTTTTTTAATGTCTGCTTGTGTCTAGCACTGGAGAGACTGAGATGAATCAGATGAAATCCCCTGATCTCCAGGAGTTCAGAGTCTGGGAGAGGTCAAAGTGGTTATGTCAACAAATAATTACAGGATAGTGGGATACCAATTTTTGTAGGAACAGACAGTATTATGAGTTGCACATGAGATGAGGGGAAAGGTCTAGGAAAGTCTCCCTCAAGAGATGATGTTTGGATTCAATTCTGAGGCTTGAGGGGTTTGTCTGTCATGATAAAAGAAGCCATTTCCGGGGCCTTGAGTCGAAGACTGGCAGAGTATGGAAGAGCAGAGGAAGGTTCTGCATTCCTGGCTGAACTGAGGCATGACAGTGGGATGTGAGCCTGGAAAGAAGGTCTCTAAGAGGAGGGTGGGAGCTGGCCCTGACCAGAAGTGGGCAGTGTTGTGGGAACAACCACAATCATGGAGCCATTCTAAGCAGGAAGGGGTGGCATGTGTAGTTGAGGATGCTTGCATTTCAAAGAAAGTATAAACCTGATGCTGGCTTAGGAAAAAAAAAAAGTTCCTGGGGCTCCCTGGTGGTGCAAGGGATTAAGTCTTAGCACTATGAAGCTATGATCAGCCCCTGCACCACAAGTTCAGTCTCCAGCCAGGGAGCTGACCCACATGGCACAACAGACCTCTCCTGTCTCCCCCGCTGCTCCCCTCAGCAGTGTACTTTGTCAATCTGTCTGTTCTGCTCCCTGGTCTGTCTCTAGTGAATCATCTCACCCCACTCCCACCACCACTTCTGGTCTGTACCCCAGTTCTTGTATGCATAAATACATAAATCTTAAAAAAAAATAGTTCCTCTTTTACAGAAGCTACTTGCCTTAAGAACAAGAGTGGGCTCATAGCTGGGGAAAGGTTGGAGGGGGGGTGAGAAATCTCAGTGAAGCAGTAGGAGACTGCCCCAAAGCTGATTGTGAAGTAGGGAAAGTGTAAATATGAACAAGAAACTTTTTTTCATGCTCATTTCTATATATACTTATATCCCAATAAATCCTAACAGTATACAGTATGTGGTTGAAGTCTGCACTTGCTTCTGGTAACTGATAAAGAGGGTAACCCCCAAACAGATAACAGGGTGGTTAGCTGGCTAACGAAGGCCTTTGGAATCCACCAAATAATTTGATTTCTGAGTTTTGTTCCAAAATACAGAAAAGCTTATCCTGTGATCCTGTCACACCACGTGACTTCAGTTTCTATAGATACCTAAAGACCAAGTGGGAAAGAGTCTGATTGCTAACCTTGGTGATGAGAAGAACACCCTAAAATCTGCCAAGCTGAATACAGAAAGACTGTGAAGTGTTCTCACAGGAGCACACACCTTGTCTCCCCTCTTCTGACAGATAACACCGCAGGGGTGTATGCCCGGCGCGGAGGGTTCAGTCGGCAGAAGCAGGATCTCTACCTCCTGCCCATCGTGATCAGCGACGGTGGCATCCCGCCCATGAGTAGCACCAATACCCTCACCATCAAGGTGTGTGGGTGCGACGTGAACGGGGCGCTGCTCTCCTGCAACGCGGAGGCCTACATCCTGAACGCCGGCTTGAGCACAGGGGCGCTGATCGCCATCCTCGCCTGCATCGTGATTCTCCTAGGTAAGGGTGTGCCTCCCTACATCAGCGTGTGTTTGCCCACCAGGTGTTCATGCTTGAAACACGTGCATTTCTCAAGTAAGGATTACCGAGAGTGAGGGAGACATACTGAGGCAAGAAAGAGGTTATGCATGCTTGCATGCATGCCGTGTAAGATGGGCGTGTGGGGGCAAGAAACCTGATAACAGCATTAGGGAGGTGACAGTGTGTCTGGCAACACAAGACTTCATAGCAGAAGCCATCTGGGTGTGCTGGATGGGTGTGCTTTTTTTGGGGGGGGGAGTGCAGACCTCATAGAGAGTCACCAATTGCCTTACAAGAGGAAGGAAAATAATTAGAGCTAGAAAGCATCACCAAACAATGTCACTGAGGAGCGTAAAAGATTGGGAAGGAAGGAGTCAAGGAACTAGACTAAGCTTGACCTGATTGAAACCAGCTCTTGTCTCCTCATAATACAAATAGCTCTTGTCTCCTCATAATACAAATACAAATAATGCAAATACCCCCCTCACTCCCATCCCCACCCAGGAAGCTTTGCCTACACTTGTGACTTAGACAGGTTCCCTTCTTCTGCATTTCATCCCAATTAGTAGTTCACTCTGTAACAAAAGGAATGTTCTGATGCTAATCAGTCTACCCCTGCTGGGCGTCAGAAGAGTAGATAACCTGCCCCAGCCTCAAACATCAAGTGTGAGTATGTCATACAGCAGATTTAGTCTTTCCACGGCATTTAGTTCTCCACGAAATGAACTAACGGGGTCCATCTGCGTAAGCATGAGACAGTGAGTTCAGTGCAACAAATAGCGGCTGTGTCATCAGGGTACCAGGCCCTACATTATCCCTGAGGGATAAAGACAATCACCATACAAGGCTGCAGTGCTCAATGAGCTCAAAGGAAAACAGGCCTGAACAGATAAACCACAGAGGCACTGCTCAGTGCCATGAGGAGGGGCGGGAGTGGGGGGGTGGGGGGTGGCCTGACCCTGACTGGAAAGGTCAGAGGCCTCCCATGGAGGATGTGGCGTGCTTCTCAGATGCTCAACCATCTGTCCAGCTGGTGAAGGGGGCAGGAATGCATCCGTGTTCCAGTCTTCCAAGAGATTATGAGAGTTGAGTCTAGTGGTGAGTCAGAGGTGTAAACCATGTGATAAGCATTTTGCTGACAGGAGAGCAGAGCTGGTAGGGACATGGAGAAGGGCTACTAGTCTTGTGGGGTCAGGATGGGGTACAGGGAAAGCCGTTTGGGTGAAAGGGGTCAGGATGGGGTACAGGGAAAGCCGTTTGGGTGAAAGGTAAGAGTCAACCAGACAAGGAGCATTGGCCAGAGGGTGTTATCAAGAGCAAGGCACAGGGGCAGGACGCTGTGCGCACTGTGGTGAGCACGGGGATATGCAGAGCCAGCACGCAGGGGCCCTCGACCCTGCACCTTCCCAGAGGTGGGCCCCGTTGCTGTCAGACCACTTCCCAAATTCAGCCAGGACCATTTTCTTCATGGTGTTGAGTGTGCCGGATAAGTTCTAGTGGAACGTTGCAGAAACCCCTAGTGGAAGGGAAGGGGATCAATTGTGAATTATACTGTGTCTAAGCGTTCCCTATAAGCAACTCTGCCTGCTTACCCTAGAGTGCCTGAGCTGGTAGAATCCCCTCTTCAGGGAAGAGATAGAGCTGCTTCACCTGAGTTTCCACTAATATTATTTTCAAAGAAGGAGGAAAAGACTTGTTTCCTGGAGGTGTTATAAACATCCCCTTTCATACAGTGGTCAGAAAGGAGTCTTGCCAGGCCCATGGGCGAAGGCTTCATATTAAAATAAAGTAGCATCGGCCCTCCCTGGTGGTGCAGCGGGTTAAAGCACTGCACTAAGAAGCTAAAGCCACTTCAGCATGAGTTCGATCCCTGCCCCGGAGGTGAACACATGGTGTGGCAGACCTCTCCTGGCCCTCCTGCTGCTCCCCTCAGCAATGTACTTCCATGATCTGCCTGTTCTGCTCCCCACTCTGTCTCTGGTGAAGCCTCTCACCACCTCCGCGCCTCTGGCCTATACCCCAGTTCTGTACGTATAAATAAATAAATCTTAAAAATAAATAAATAAATAAAGTAGCATACTGCTGATCCACCCTCAGACTCTGGGCTGGTGCTAGGCATGACATCCTTGGAAAGGCCCTGAGTCTCCACATGTCCTCATTCCTAAACTAAGCCAAAGACACTGGCATATGCCCTTGAAGGAGCGGCAGATCAACCTATTTAGAAGTTGACTTTCAATCAGTATCTGGTTCATGTATAAAAAGCCCAGAAATTTGCCCATTTGTAGGATGCCATCTCTTCTGGCAGCACTTTGCAGAAGCTGAGCCAGGTGGAGGCTGCTTTACATTTTGGGGATTCCCAGTAAAGCTCTCATCCACAGGCAGGCTCAGTCCTGAGGCATGTGTCCCTGCTTTACCATGAGCAGAGTCCTAGGAACACGGGGCTTAACCTCTGCTGACTTTCTTTTTCTTCCCCTGTAGTCATCGTAGTGTTGTTCGTGACACTGAGAAGGCAAAAGAAAGAACCACTCATTGTCTTTGAGGAAGAGGATGTGCGCGAGAACATCATTACCTATGATGATGAAGGGGGCGGGGAAGAAGACACGGAAGCCTTCGATATCGCCACCCTCCAGAATCCCGATGGCATTAATGGATTTATCCCTCGCAAAGACATAAAACCCGAGTACCAGTACATGCCCAGGCCTGGGCTGCGGCCAGCACCCAACAGCGTGGATGTGGATGACTTCATCAACACGAGAATACAGGAGGCGGATAACGACCCGACGGCCCCTCCTTATGACTCCATCCAAATCTATGGGTACGAGGGCAGAGGTTCCCTGGCAGGGTCTCTGAGCTCCTTAGAGTCGGCCACCACAGATTCAGACTTGGATTATGACTACCTACAGAACTGGGGGCCTCGTTTTAAGAAACTAGCAGACTTGTACGGTTCCAAAGACACTTTTGATGAGGACTCTTAACAATAATGATACAAATTTGGCCTTAAGAACTGTGTCTGGCGTTCCGAAGAATCTAGAAGATATGTAAACAGGTATTTTTTTAAGTCAAGGAAAGGCTCATTTAAAACAAGCAAAGTTTTACAGAGAGGATGCATTTATGAAAACTGCAAGGACTTCAAAGTGGCAAATACTGTGAAGTACCTTTTCTTACAAAAAAGGCAAAGGGCGAAGTTGTTTGTCAACTTCGCTAGAGAAAAACCACTTGGCATACAAAATATTTAAGTGAAGGAGAAGGCTAATGGTGAACTTACAATGAAGGGAAATCGTTTCTGTGTTACGAACATCTAAGTCTTTTCTTTTTCTTCTTTTTTTTTTTTAATTTGTCAAAGAAGCTTCCACGAAATTAGAGAGGACAACAGTTCTGAGCTGTAATTTCGCCTTAAACTATGGACACTGTATGTAGTGCATTTTTAAACTTGAAATATATAATATTCAGCCAGCTTAAACCCATCCAATGTCTGTACAATACAATGTACAATTATGTCTCTTGAACATCAACCTTGTTACTGCTGATTCTTGTAAATCTTTTTGCTTCTACTTTCATCTTAAACTAATACGTGCCAGATATAACTGTCTTGTTTCAGTGAGAGGCGCCCCTATTTCTATGTCATTTTTAATGTATCTATTTGTACAATTTTAAAGTTCTTATTTTAGTATACATACAAATATCAGTATTCTGACATGTAAGAAATGTTACGGCATCACACTTATATTTTATGAACATTGTACTGTTGCTTTAATATGAGCTTCAATATAAGAAGCAACCTTTGAAATAAAAAAAAGATTCTTTTTTAATTCTGGGCTTGAGTCTTAACATTGAAAAAAATAAGTATTTCTAATGACCCATTTATATTTCTAATTTAAGATACTTGTGATCTTTTCATAACCCTATTTATGATCTGTGGTTGTCTGCTGCTTTTACTGTTTATTTAAAATCAAATATGTTTTACAAATGTTTTTTCAGATAAGATTCTGTAACATCATGTAAAGCTTTTTTGTACATTCTCAATAGCTTCACTTTCACACGCATCTGAAAAAGGATGTTAAAGATCTGGGTCAGCCTATGATTTGGCAATACTTGTTATATAATATGCATTTATCTTGTATATCAATAACTTGATGGTAATGAGAGACAAATCCAGGAGAGAAAAAAAACTATCAGAAGCCTAAAGTTCAAGATGTTGATTTTGTGCCTCATACCCAGCATTTTGGGAACTGAGGGAGAGAATAGTCAAAAATATAAATTTGTCACATATGGCCATCAGAAATCCAATGTTATTCTATTTTCCCTTATGACTATGATGGTTGAAACTGCGTATTTGTTCCTTTTAATTTTTACTCCTCTAGAAATAATTGGCATTTTAAATTTGATAACAGACAGAGCAATTCATTTTTAAATCTTTGTTTTAAAATACCCTTTGGGCCATAAGCGCAGAATGAGAGCAGGGACCGGGCAGAATCTGAAGGTCAATGCCATTTGATCTGTGAGTCTGCCAAACCCCTCCTACAGCCCCATCTCGCTGCCTGGGGATCGGGACTTCTGTGAAAGTCATATCACTTGTTCACTTGGGCCAAAGGTCAAAGCATAGCAATACTCGGGGAAAGAGCACCCGAAACCATGCTGCAAGTGTTTCCTCTTTCCCCCCCACCCAGACACAGGGCACCACTTTCTCTTGGGTTATAGACAATTGTTAGGTTATCTTTTCTTTTTACTTTATTGTGCAAGTTTGTTTCAAGCATTTCTTGATACCCTGCTATCTACTATTTTTATGACTCCGTCAAAGTGCATACAAAGAGAAATGTTTTTATGAAGTGCTCACTTCCATTTTACTTTGCATTTAAATCAAATTGTCTGAACACTTCAATGGAATAAATTTTGTGGACAATGTCACTTTGGAATCTTTCATTTCAGTGAAGGATTGCACATTCTCAGTACTTCCATAATTGCAGGTTTTGTTCATTTTTTATATAGTTTTTGTAATCCAAAGAATATTTTGCTAGATTTGCACAGATCTCCAATTGAATTTGAAATGAAGAAATAACTCAAAAAGAACATGAATAGCACTTAAACAAGCATACAGCTGTGAGTAACCCTGTCACCATGGATGATCCTTTTTTTCTAGGAATATATTTGGATTAGATTTGACAACTACATTTTCACATTTTTATGTTTAAGGTTTTTTTTTTCTTTTTTGGCTGTTTTTTTAAAAGAGCTATCTACTTTTCAATAGTTAAAAATACTTGCTTTTCTTTTTTATCTTCTCTTTTTTTTACTTTCAGCCTCTATTGTTTGTAGAACCCTCTTAGAAGCTTGAAAATAAAATGTCTTTCCTGAATAGTGGAGTCCTTTTTCATTTGGAACATATTGCCTTCAAAGCAATCTTAGTTTCAGTGGGCCTTCCTGATTTCGATATAAAGTCATCACTGCTTTATGCCATCAATTCAACTCAATTCCTCTGTTCTCGCCCTTGAGTGTGGGCATTGTTTACATTTGTCATTCATTCATTCATCACAGCCTTATTTTGTACCACCTGTGTTAGTCACTTTAGAATGCGGAGAGAAACTTGCTGCCTTCCTTGACGTTTTCAGTCTTTCCAACCTTGTTCCAAAATGTCTATCCTGTTTTCTTGTGATGACCTATTACCCCTATGCCCAACTACCTCCCCATTGCAACAGGATACGTCCCCTTCTTCAGGATTGAGAGAACAAGATATACAAGAGATATAACCAGAAACTGTGAAATGTTGACCGCGAATGGAATTTGACCAACTGCAGTCACTTGTAGCATGCAGGATGCATCTGTGTTTCAGCTCAATTATACCTTGTACCTTACAATTCCTGGACTGATGGAGATGGCTGAAAGTGTGGACTATCTGCATCACTTGGAGAAGCTTATGAGAAATGCACAGTCCTGATAGAGTATGTCTCTGCATGACAGATCAGGCAATAATGTTCTACCTTCGCCTCTTTTTGAGAACCTTTGTAGAACAAAAGGGATCTCTCAGCAGAAGAGTGGTCAAGTGCACCTGGCAGACAGTGTGGAGGGCAGACTGAAGCTGAAAGAGCACATCGACCCTGAGAGGCACAGCAAGAGGGCATTTATGGAAGTCAAAACGAGATACAATACCTCGGGGGTGGAAAAGAGGAAAGGATTTTCTGATTCCCTGCCATCAACCTGGTCAGAGACCAGCAGCATCTCTGACTTGCTTAGCTGTTCTTCAACTCCCAGCACTTTCTCCACAAAGAAGTGAGCAGAACATTACACACAACTCAGCTCATAGGCCTCCATTTAAGTCTCTTCCTAAAGTCTTAGAATAAGTCCAGTTCCCTGGTGTCATCGCTCTGCATGTCCAGGCCCCTGCAAACATCTCCCACCCCATCTACCACCATTCTCATTCAGCACATCATGCTCTAAGCACAGTGACTGCCCATATGATCAAGTGTTCCCTTTGTGATCTAAAGTAAGGCATCCCTTGCTGTGTCTCTTACCTTATTTTACCTATAGGTTTTTCGGCTTTTCTTGTGTGTGTGTGTGTGTGTGTGTGTGTGTGTGTGTGTGATTGGCCCAACAGAATGTAAGTTTCAGCAGCAGGAATCTTTTTTTGTTCACCTTCATATGCACCAACCTTTACATTATGCCTGAAACGTCATGGGTGCACAGCAAATGCTCCCTGAATGAATGATGGTTCACCTTCATAAGGCAGACTTAATCAGGATTTGATGGCTGATGAATTAATTCTATTGTGGTTTTGAGCTTCCTTAGCTAAGAAATCCAGTGGATGATGATCTTGAGACCTGCTGTTGTAAATCCAAAACAGAGTGGTTTTGGGGGGAAAGATGTTGAATTGAGTTTGGGTTGGACTGACAAATTGGAGGTGCTTGTGTGACAGCTAGATGGAACCGTCCCACGGGTCACCAGAAATACAGGTTTGCCACTGAAATAGGGGCCAGCAAATAGAACAAGAGGTAGTTGAGTCTCTGATGTGACTATGTTTTTAATTGGGTCTCAGTGCTCTCTCCAAACTTTAAAGAATAATTTTGATGATGAAGTAAGTCCCTCTGGGGTGGAAGAGTGATACTGACTTTAGTTTTATTAATAAGGATAATTAATAAGCATAAACCTTATCCATGTATGTCATATGCTTTGAAAAATAAGAAGGGAATATTAATTAATTTGCCTATTCTTTTCTTCATTTAAGTGAGGCTTTCTTGGGAGCTCATGATGGGGGGGGGAGCTCATCAGTGTCACTAAATATGTGACACTGATCTCATTCCTATGAGGAGGCAATGCAGGTGCTACAGTCCCCATATTACATGGAAGGGGACTAAGCCAGAGAGACTCATCCACTCTCTGAAGCATGCTCAGGGAATGACTGTCAAGGCTGTGTGGAGACAGACCCCATTTCTCCTTTCTCAACCAAGGGACTTAACACTTTCAACTTGCAGATCCAACATGAAAGACTCCTCCTCATTGTCAGTAACTTAATGCTCCTGGCATTGAGAGCTCAGAAGGGAAGTTCCCCTACCTACATGGGATGTTCGTTCCTCTCAACACCTTCCATCATTCAGTGGGACAACAGAACCTGGTCATACCTCAGTGTGTCCATTCTGCCCCCCAAAGTCTGAGGCCATGTACAGGACAGGATTGTGAACTGTCTCTGCTGGGATCTGCAATCTTTCTACCATATGAATGTTGAAAATCAAATATAAAAGAAATGATCGGTCATTTTATCATTCTTTGTATGATGTTTCATGCAGAAACTTGATAGTTCATCCTCCCCGTGTGATTAAAATGGTAAAAATACAAATAAAAAAGAAAAGGGAATGCCTGGAGCCTGAAGGCTTTGTCAGATTTTGAGGGCTTAAGAGAAAATTGAATTTTTATCTTTTAGACTAATTTATCTGATTATTTTTTATGACCTGATGTTGCCATCTTTCTAAAAGGGACTTTAGCATTCCAGATATTTTTATACGTTTTAAGGTTGATTATACCCCTGATGAAATTTTCCATAGATTATAAACATGACTTTGTAGTTCTCTGTCACTTTAATCAATTAATCACCATGACTTGGTCATCTCTCATAGGCTTACAGAGGCAGCACTAGAGTTACCACTCATTCTGCAGAGAGCTAATGAGAAAAAGCAACTGCATAGACTTTGCCATTTCTAGTATCTGACATGTGTTCTTAACAATAGAGCTTCTTGTCAGGGAGAATATCAGTACACCTCTGTATGTAAAGCCTGGCTACAACATTTACCAGCTGTGCAACTTTAGACAGGTGTCTTGACCTCTCTGAACTTGTATTTCTAGAGTCACTGACAGTTTCTAGAACAGAACAAGCACTGGCTAGGAGGTAGCTATTATATTGTTTGCATCTAGAGTCATCTCACTTCCAGGTTGCGAGTGATATAAGGGAAGAATTTACCACTTCATGTCTCCCTTCTTCAAAATGAATTCACTCAGCTCTCCTGAGCCAACAGTACAATGAGTTTAGCACACTATAGTTTAAGTAAATTGATCAACAGTTTCTGACTACCCTCTCCCCGGCCCCCAACTTTTTTTTTAACATGACTAATTGCCTACTCAGTGAATTCACTTATAGTTGACTAGAATATATAGCCTGTATTGGCAAAATAACAGGTAAAATAGCTAACAGAAGACAATAAATAAATTTACATGATTATGATTGTATTTAACTTCACAGATATGATGTATTACATTACATTTGAAAATCCAGATGAATGTGTTAAGCACTGTGCAAACTTTGACATTTCTAATATAAGGCATTTCATATTTGATATATTTTGTTCATTTATTCTACAATGGTAATCCATTTTTATAGACATGATTCTCTGAAAATATTTAGATTTGAAGACATATAATTTCATTAGAATACTTCTTTTTTTATAACGACTCTGATGAGTTTAATTTAAGCACAATTTTTACTTCATTTAGCACTCAGGAAATTGGAAATTATTTTATGCTATGGTAATTTTCTTCCTCTTTTTTTTTTCTTAACGCTAACTGGAATGTGAAAGAAATAGTAGTGCTTGGAAATATAATTTTCAAATTACTTTCTCTTATGGATTATAGATTTCTCTTTTCTTATGACTTTCTCTTTTCATTAATTTGATGATGCTGATGAGGCAGCCTTCCTAGGGGTTCCTGCCTTTCTTTTTCCCTTTGAATTCTCACATAGAATGGATAACGAATAAATATTAGAGACAGGAGTATAGGGATGAATGGCTAAGGAAAGCAAAGTCTCATGTTTTAGGAGTTTCAGCATTCTGGATTATTAGAAATAGTTGTGTGCATGTGTTTGTATGTGTTGTGTGTTCGTGTGACTTCATCTGGGTGGCTTCTCTCAATCACCCACCCTCATATTTTGAGAGTACTACTATAATATGTTGGATATAGATTGCAAATCTAAATGTTAAAACTCGTTTCAAAAAAAGTCTTTATCCCTTGATTCCAGGATACAGGAATATTTAAAATAAAGAAAGAAGGGGACTTGTTTAGTTGACACATTTCTATGTTCAGTATATTTCACTTAACATATGAGCAAAATTGAATGTACCCAAAAGGACTTTTAAAACTTACTTGAATTGCTGCACGATATTGTGACAATCATCTCTTATTTGTTCACTAAATTAGCAATATTAAACACCTTATTATAAGCTGAACACTCAGCAAATCCTAGAGGAAAAAAAAAAAAAAACAGCAGCAAAATGATCGAGTTCTTGCTTTCATGTAGATGAAGTTCTACTGGGGATATTCAGATGGTGACTAAGTATGGATGCAGACATACAACTTGACAGGATTAGTGATTTGATTTCTCCAACTAATAAATAGTAATAAAAAATGGTGGAGGAGGAAACTACGTATTAAAAAAGACTTTGGTGATATATTAACCAAATAAAATATCTTGGATCCGTATTCAGTCTTACTTGAATATTTATTCAGGCAAAATGCTTTAAAAAATGAGACACCCAAAACAGTTGAACATTTATGGGATATTTGATATTATTTAATATTTGATAGCAATTTGACATTATTTTATATCTTTTGAGAATAAGTTTTTAAAGAGGATTTTTCCTTTTAGCAATACTTACTGAATGTATATAATATATATGTTTGTGTATATTATTATTTATATATATATAAAATGACA